ACTTATTCACATGAACCTGAGAGTATTAATGTATGACAGGATATATAATAGATATATGTTATCTATACCATAGTCCAAGTATGATCCAAGTATGATGAACTAATATCATAATCCAATACGTTTTTACTTGAATGTGTGTCAGGTTTAAGGCGCAATACAGATTCTTTGAAGTTCGTTCATGTTAAAGTTAGGATTAGTGTTATGGGCTAGAAAAGAGTAGTTTACTTATATGTAATAAAAATTACCAATTGAACACTTTTTGTTAGAGTACCAAAAGTGATTTTTATGTATAGATTTTGAGAAGCAAGCGAAACTAACGTTAATTTGTATTTCAGTAAATCTGCACCATCATTCAAGGGTTGCTAATCCGAAATAGTATCCAAGATAGTATGATGAAATAATTCGAGGGGTGCTAATCCAAGATAGTATGATGAAATAATTCTAGGGGTGCTAATCCAAGATAGTATGATGAAATAATTCGAAGGGTGCTAATCCAAGATAGTATGATGAAATAATTTGATAACAATCCAAGATAGTATGATGAAATAATTTGATAACAATCCAAGATAGTATGATGAAATAATTTGATAACAATCAAGAAGACTTTCATATGATTAGAAACTATTTGATAACCAAGCGGTAATGTAGTAGTTAAAAATGCGCATTTAGAATAATTTGAAATAAATGCATAAAGTGCCTGTGACAAAAAAATAAATGGTTTATTATTAAACAAATAAAAATATTAATAAAGAAAAAGCGTCGAACTTTGTAAAACTACCAAAATCATTCACTTCCAAAGTTTAAATTATTATTTGTCAATACATATAATATAAATTTCAAACATTAATTAAAATTTTATATGATTTTGAGCAATAAAAATCGAATTTTCAAGCATAATTATTAACTACATAAATGAATTGAGTGGGTATTGTATTTATTATAATAATGTATAAGGATAGAGTTATTTCCTATGAAGTAAATAATGACATAAAACTTCTAGAAGAATAGTAACAATACATATTAAGTTAGAATTATTTTATGGTATATAACAATACGTAATAATAATCAATTATAAATTTACAGAATTTTTCGTGATTTTTACATTTTTATGATTTACACTTACAATTACAATTTTACAATTGCAATTTTTTTTCTGTTAAAGTTTGTTTTACAAATTACAAATGCCATATCTTCATACTCTTCATTCGTGAACCGCTAAAGAATGTCGAACTGCAGATGCTTCACGGATTCGGAGATATCGAAAATTGTATATTTCGACAAGAAAAAAAAACTCAAAATTATAAAATTGGCCATAATTTCCATGAAACAGTTACATCTATTAATCACGTTTTTGACTGAAATGCAAGGAACATGTTGTGGATCAGGAAAGATAAAGTAAATAAATTTTCAAATAAATAAAAAATAAATACATTAAACAAAATTTAATTGTTGAATAATGATGCATATAATAATAATACAATACTTAACTCATGAATAACAGATTAGCTTCGGCAGACGATACTTCGGCTTTAAGAGAGTTATTTGTCAAACACGATGATATAGAAAAAGATTTTTGTAATAATATTAGAGCTTACAATAGTATTTTTGCTTTTACTTCAATGGGCATCAAGTTAGATGAAAATCTTGCAAATAGTAAGAGACTTAATAACAATTATACTTAATCATATAACACTTTTGAAGATTTGAATATATAAAAATATATTTATACATATATACTATTTTTAAATAGGCAGAAATGGTGTCTATACATGGACTATGGTATAGATAACATATATCTATTATATATCCTGTCATACATTAATACTCTCAGGTTCATGTGAATAAGT